ATTTTACCCTTTGTCTTATTTATACACTTTTTATGTTTGTATTCTCAGTACTTAGCACAGTGCCTGGCACATAATAGGTGCTTAATAAATGTTTATTGATTGATGTGTAGTAGTGGTATTTTATTTATCCTTTGCTCTACTTATGAACTTTTTATCTTTGTATCGCCAGTGTTTAGCGCAGTGCCTGGAACATAGTAGGAGCTTAATAAATGTTTACTGATTGATATGTAGTAGTAATATTTCATTTATCCTTTGCCCTATTTACAAACCTTTTGTCTTTGTAATTCCACTACTTAGCATATAGTAGGTGCTTGATAAATACATGATTGATTAAACTGAGTTTAAAAAAAAGCAGCTTTAGTGTTTTGTGTGTGGAGGTAGTCAGTAGGCCTCTTACATCAACACTTAATTCTTTTTATAATAGGAGAACAGGTCATAGAAAGGCTGTGCTCTAGTTTAGCTCCCTCATTTTAACAGATGAAGAGACTGAAGAGTAGAGAAGTGATGTGGCTTGTCCCAGACCCCTTAAGTTGGATAATACATAGATTTAGAGCTGGAAGGAACCCTAAAGGTCATCATTTTACAAATGAGAAGACTGGGCTCCTGCCCTTAAAGAACTTAGGGTATAGTATGGATCTAAATAAGTGTAGCTAGGTGGTGCAGTGAGGAGAGTGCTGGTCCTGGAGTCAGGAGGACCTGAGTTCAAATGTGGCCTCAGAGACTTACTAGCCTCTTACTTACAAGCGGCAAATCGCTCCAGTATCTCTGCCAAGAAAACTCCAAATGGGGTCACAAGGATGAAACGATTCAATAACAAAGCTGTTATTATCATTATTATTGTTTTATTATTGTTCTTAACTACTTGTGCTCTTTGGGCTAAGCACTTTTCTCTGGGTCCCTCTTTCCTCCTCTCTAAAATGATGGAGTTAGACTGGGTAGGTCTCTGAGGTCCTTTCAGTCTCTAGATCAATGATCCCATGGTCATTTCGTAACTAATATTTTTAGTCCATAATCTCATTGGCTAATTTTTATTGGTCTTTATGTGTCTTGTACTCCCTCCAGTATTTACTCAATATAGCTGATCAATAATTTTACTTGATAAAGGAATATTCCTTTTTAATATATTGGGATACTTTCCAGAACATCCCCTACATTTTTAATGATGAAAACAGTTTAGACATTTCTTACTAGCAGAAATTCAGTGAACACTACCCCAAATTTAACAAATTATGTGACAGATTAACTTTATAAAACAGGAAGCCTTGTGCTTAATGGGATCCAAGAGCCTTGTGGAGCAGTCTTATACCCAACATTTGACAGCTGCCACCAGTACAACTAGTTGGCATCCCCTTTCCTCATGTATGTGCTGTAGCTTCATTCCAGCAACTGGCAGTTTTCAACAATTGACACTTTCCTGGACTCAAAACACGATTTTCTCATGCTGCTAGTTCCTAGTTAGGATATTATGATTCAGTGATTTGCCTTTGCACCAAGAGCAAATTTTGTGACATACGTGTAGAGTCTAGTCTTTTTTTTCTGGTCATTTTTAGATGGGAATTGGCTGCTGGCAACTCAAGAAGCCCCTTTGTTGCTAAGTCAAAGCTGGATTTTCTGTTCCTTAGCTCTGTGTACTGGAGCTCTCTGACTGTTCAGATTATGATAGCAAATTGTACAGGCTTGATGAGTGAAATTTTCTTGAAAAAAATTTGAGGGAACAAAAGCAAAAATAATACGGATTTAAAACTAGAAGTGTAAAGTTTTTCAAAGTTGGTAAAAAACTTAACCAAATGGTCAGAGCTTTAGGGATTGTCCACTGCAGAAGTGACAGTAATACTTGAGGCAGAGGGGGTGGGGGGGGGGCAGAGATCAAAATCTTTAGTATGGGATTTTTATCTTCATATTAAGTTTGTGACCATTTGATTAGAACAAAGTATTAAAAATTTTATCAGGAAGTCTTTTTTGTAACCATGTTATTTTCTTTTTTTTTTCTTTCTTTTTTTTTTGCTAAGCAATGGGGTTAAGTGACTTGCCTAGGGTCACACAGCTAGTATGTGTCAAGTGTCTAAGGTCAGATTTGAACTCAGGTCTTCCTGACTCCAGGGCCAGTGCTCTACCCACTGTACCACCTAGCTGCCCCAACCATGTCATTTTCAATAAATACTTTCTTAAATGATTTCATTACACTTAGGGACCAACTTTTTTTTTTTCACCATTGGGACACACAGCTCTTTTTTTTTAATGTAACAGTGAATGGAAGAGGGGAATATAGGATTTGTGTGACAGTTTGCTAGAAACTTCTTGCATCCACAGTATTAAAGGAAGGCTACATATTTGTTCAAGAAACTTTCTTGGTGGAGCATTTTTCTTTAGAATTTTAGTTAGCAAAAAAAGAACTCTCATTGGGAAAAGAAGCAGGTGAATACTTTCATTCAACAAATATTTATGAAACATTTAAGGCATATAAAATGCTAAGTATGTCGAGGGTCACCACAAATGTACAAGCTGGACTCCCTGCCCTCCATGGAACGAAAAAAGAGAAATCGCTATAGTTTCTGTAAAAGCCATGTTGCCTACTAGATAGAGATGGCTTCGGAGGCAGGAAGACCTGAGTGTAAGTCCAATCTTTGCCTATACTGGCTTTGTGACTCTGGGTAAGTGACTTAACCTCCCAGTTTTTAAGCGATTCTCTAAGACTATGAGATGAAAGAGAAGGCACTGGCCTGCACTGGCCGAGGAAACTCTAAAGCAGTGAAATCACAAATCTACCCCTGATCTATAGAATGTCTGTCCGGCCTCCCTCGCCCTCATCTCCACCTCTTGACCTCCCTGGCTCAAACCCCACTTTCTGCAGGAAGCCTTTCTTGATCCCCCTTAATTCTAGTGACTTCCCTTTGTTCATTATTGCGAATATATCCTATTTATAACTTGTATGTACATAATTGTTTTCATATTATCTTCCCCATTAGACTGTGAGCTCCTTGAGAACAGACCCTGTCTTTTTTTTTCTTTTCTTTTCTTTGTATTCCCTGTACTCTGCACAGAGCCTGGCACATAGTAGGCATTTAATAAATGTTCATTGACTGACTGACTATGCCCATCTTTAAAGTTTACAAAGATATTTACTTACAATAACCATATAAAGTAAGTATTCCTAGTTTATTTTTTTAAATAATTTTTTATCATAACTATCAACTAAACAAATAAAATGAGGAATAAAGTCATATGTAAAGCCATAAACACCAAACTTGATAAAAGGATATATATGTGCATATATATGTATGTGTATACATACATATATACATGTATATATATATATTTTTTTCATATGCTTCCATATTGTTGTCTTTATCAGGTTAGTTATGGTCAATGTCTATGTCCTTGTTGCTTAGTATAATCATTTCCCAGTTTCTTCCTGTCCTTTATAGTTGTCATTTTTATAGTACAATAATAAAGTGATGTAGCACAAAGTAACTTATCACTCCCTAATTTTTTTTTTTGTTGCTATTACAAATAAGGCCAGTATAAATATTTTTTGTACAGCCCGGTTTCTCCCCACCTTTTACTCACATTCTCAGAATGTTGTCATAACTGGAGGATCAGTGAATGGAAAGGCATGATCCATTTCACAATTCTTATTGTATATTGATATAGGTCATTTTCTGAAAAGATTACACCAATTTATAGCTCCACTAATAGTGTCATAGGGGTCTGTTTCCTCATAACTTCCTCATTATTGATTTTTTATATGACAAAAGTGATTAACTCAAAGTTATTATTAGTGATTATTAGAAACTTTGAACATCTTTTCAACTGAGTTATTAAAAGTTTCTTTCTTTGAGCATGGCTTTTGACCATTTATCTGTTGGTAATATTTTATCTCCATTTTACAGGTGAGAAAACTGACTTACCCATGTTCACAGAACCAGAAATGTCAGAGCAAAGATTTTAACCCATATCTCTTGACTCTCAGTCAGTTATAACCTACTAGGATTGCATTTTGAGCTAGGTCTTGAAAGATAGGTAAAGAAGATGGGGTGGAGAGGGGCATGAGCTGAGCCGTAGAAGTGGAAAGTCCTTCCAGGCCTATTCTGGGAAGACTAGCTTGGCTAAAGTTGGAATAGGGTGGTAGTGGGAAAGTAAGGCAGTGTATTTAAATTCTGCTTCTCATGGATCTGTGATTTTATCGATGCCATTGCACCTTTCAGTGAGGAAGATCCTAGCCTACCCTTGTCTATCTGCCCTGCTCAACTACCATGTGCAAATCTGCTTCAGGAGGTCTGCCCAATTTACACACAAATCCTACCGTCATTTTCTTGACATCCCATTGGAACCAGTGAAGCACCTTAGCTGTGCATATGCAATTCCCAGTTCTTGTAACATGACTGATTGATCTACTTTTCCTGTCATACATTTATTTCCCTGGTATTTATTACTCCCTGATACATTTCTTTCTCTTTATACTACTATTCCTGTGCAAGTAGGAAGAGTGAGAGAAAGCTGAAAAGGTAGGTGGGGGGAGGGTTGTAGAAGACTTCAAATGCCTTCATTACCTGGCCTCTAACTTACTACCTTTCCAGAATTTACCATCTGCACATTTTTCTTTCAAGAGGAAAATAAATCCCTAAAAAACCCATAATTCTCTTTTGAATGCATAATCCATGAGTAGGAAAACATTAGGATGAATAGTAGATATTCTTGTATTTTAAAAGGCAAATATATAATCGAAAGAGAACTTGAATTTTGATGACATTCATTCATGTTTTATATACCATAAACAAAAGTAAAAAGAGAGAGAGAGACCAGAAGCACAAGCATAAATGGGTTCTATTTATTCAACTCCTAAATCAGTTCTCATATCTGTCCATTACTCTCTATTTCCATCGCTGCTACCCTACTATAGCCCAACCATCCTCTTGGACTATTAAAAAAATCAATGAATTGTCCTTACTTAAGAAACTCCAGGTGCTAAAGCAAGCTGTATTATTTTGTTTCTTTTCTAGGCAAAACCAAAGCTAATTGAGCCACTTGACTATGAAAATGTTATTGTCCAGAAGAAGACTCAAATCTTGAATGATGGTTTACGTGAGATGCTGCTTTTTCCTTATGATGACTTCCAGGTAACTGGTTTTATTTTTCCTATTCTTTTAAATCATGTGATTGGTCTTTAGGGGTAATTGGTCAGGATATAAGGACATTTGTTGCCTCTTAATTCAGGAACTTAATGTCTTTCTACCAGCTGAATGTTTGGCTTTTTTTTCATCCCTTTTTAAGTCTCAGCCATGAGAAAAAGAAAATGACAGATGTGTTTGTAAGACACAGGTAATGATGATATATTTCCAACCAGCTCTATGGGGATTGATTTTGCTAATAATTTGAGTATGGCAAACATAAGTATACCTGTCCATGAGATTATGAACAAATTATAAGGTAAAGAGGCAGTATGGAAAGAGCACCAACTTTGGAGTGAGAGGACCTGTGTTTAAATTCCCTGTATCTGACACTTACCTATCTGTGTCACTTTGGGCAAGTCACTTAACCTCTGAGGCACAATTTTCTTATCTGCAGAATGAAGTGGGGGGTGGATAGATTTAGATGGCTTGTTAAAATATTGCTAGGAGATAGCATCTACATTGTAGGCTCTTAAAAATGGTTTGTAGATTGATCAAAAGTTTCTCACAGAAAAAAAAATCTGAAAAATGCTACTTTCAAGTTCCCTTATGATATACAGAATCATTAATAGGCTTTAAGCAATTTTAGAAGCATATATTTTACAATCCAAGGGTTAGGATGTTTAATGAAGAAAGAGCACAATCTTACTTTGCCTCTCTATAGAATTAAAGTATGCAAATAAGTTTCTCTGTTTCTTGACGGGGAAAAAAATCTTTGGGAACATGATTCATTGTTAATGGGAAAGTTCTCCCAGAGAACTCTTTCCAGTGGTACAATTTTTGAATTTATTATAAACTGGAATGTTTTGAAAACTACCTCACAAAATAACATCACATAGCAAAAAGAAAACAGGTGGAAAGCTCAAAAATGACAGGTTTTTTTTGCCAGTAAATTTGGCAAGGTTTGTGTTACATTTGCACAGTAAAAACAGACTGCTACAAATTATACTAAATGTTGACATATTTTTCCTGTGGAAGCCTTTGTGGAAGCTAAAGGTTATCTTGAGGTTCACTGAACACGACTGGCCTTAGAGTGTGTGTTTTTATATTGCAGCAAAATGGATTCTTTAGAAACCATTTTAATTTTGCAGATCCAGAACATCAAGTTGTTTTTGTGAAGGGACTATGATACAAATGTTTAAGAAATGAGAAGAATAAAACATATCCAGTATCATCTTTAACCCCAGAGACACAGGACCCACCTGTTAATGAACATCGCAGAAGTAGCTGGTTGAAATTACATGAAAATACCTATATGCATTTTACATATTAACTACTGCTCTGGAGATATTGGGTACCGGGCTTACCTCTGGCAGAAACACAAACCCTCCACCTTTTCTCACTAAAAATGGGGGGGTTGACAAGTATTGTTTTTCTCATTTTCCTAGTTTTCCTCAAAATGAGAGACTAGAGATTTCAGCCTAAGTTTTCAGTTGTAAAATAGGGAATAAGATCTGGCCCTGGGATTTCACTAATGTAGGAAATTCCCTTGGTGAGGAAACTCCCTTTACCAACACAGGTTTGTACCTTCTATTTAATTTATAGTCTTAGATTTGACTAGAGTACTGAGAGGTTACATAATTTTCCTAGCATCACAAAGCCAGTGTGTGTCAAAGGTAGTACTTGAACTCAGGTCTCCCTGGTTCCAAGGCCAACTCTCTATCCACTATACCACACTGTTCCTTTTTCAACTGTAATAATTTCAAATAGGGTTTTATCAGGGTAGTGGTTGGTTTCAGGGGTATCATGAATTCTTCTATATATGTTGAAGATGTCTAATTTTCTCAATGATAGCAAATGGGTAGCTTAACTCTTTAACAATTTGAGAACTTTCCTGTTCTCTCAGGGATATTGCTGTGTCTTTCTGAAGCATGTACCACCATGATCTTGGAAGAATTCATATTAGAGAAAGAAATGAAAAGGCAGTGGGAAAATATATAAGTGTAACAGGTTGTATGATGCTTATTTGTCCATTCGTGTCACCAGAATTTATTAATTCCCTACAAAGTGGGAAGTGTATTGCAAGGGTTCATGTTAACAATGTTTTGTGTTACTAATGGCAGCTTGTGTGGAAGAAGTAGTAGAAACAACATCAGTGGGGATATATATGATGAAAAGAAAGTGAGCCAAACATGTAGTGAGGGCAGTTATCCATTAAAGGAGGAAGTCCTCCATTGCAGTAGATTGATTCTCCATTGAGGATGTGGGGCCTAGGCATGGGATTTCATTGGTGTGGGTTACTTCCTGGTGAGAAAATTCCTTCTTAAGGATGGAAGTGGGCACCCTCTCTTCAACCTACAATTTCAGAGAGTTGCCTAGAGCACTGAGACATTTTGTGACATGCCTGAGGTGACATAGCCAGTATGTTGTAGAGGCAGGATGGCCTCAAGACCTGTTTTCTAGCCCTGGTGCCACACTTGTTTCTCCTTATGGAAAAACGACAATAAGAAATATATGGGGGCATAGGAAAATATGAACGAGGATAGCTCATGATGAGGCGGTGTAGAGAGGTTATAATCTGCCCACATCCATGGGGTCTTGCATCTTTCAAAGCATCAGTGGAGCCCCTGCAGTCTTAACTAAATTGTCATAGTAATTAAAGGAGCTTAGTAGACAGAATATTCAGCATGATAGGATCAGCTTTTTTAGCCAGCTACTTGAGGTGAGTTTTTGTTTGTTTTAATCTTAGGGGTAGGTCAAATAAAGCAATTGCCTTAAAATAGAAGAGGAAATGGACTGTCTTAAACATCAAGGGGTCAAGAGGCTCTTATGCCTACCTTGACCTCAAGCTGCTTGCTGTTATATGCATGATTGAGGCTAATTCAACTGTACTGAATTAAAATTTCATTAATTAAACAGATGCTAGGTGTTGTAAAGAATATAGAGGTAGGCATTGTCTCTGCCAAATCTGCTTAATTATTAAATTAAGGTATAAATTTTGGGAGAGGATGAAATATAGTTCAGGGAAAGAATGACATGTATGTTTAACAAGGGATGAATTTGAGTTAGTTCTTGTTACTGTGGACTTTAAATTGATCTGGTTGGACTTTTAAATAGAGAGCAACCTATTTTGCTCGTAAGATAGTCATTGATCTAGTTATATGGGGATTTGTGTGAAAAAATATCTTAGGAAAGGATTAAAGGGGAACAAGAAAAATGCCTCACAGCTTTTCTGATCGATAGATAAATGTACACTAAAAAAGAGGAAGAGGGAAGTTTTTTATATTTTTGAGACCATTTATAAGTTAATTCTCTTATTAGTACAGTCAAGGAATGGGGTACTGGGATCAATCAAGTATTCTTATTGGTAAGAGAATTATCATATTGATGATGAAATATGTGTGTAGCAGATTTTTAAAGAATTAGTAAAAAAATTACTAAATGCTGACTACATGCCAGGTTCTGTACTAAGCAGTGGAGATGCAGAAGGCAAAAATTCTCCCTGTCCTAAAGAGATCTCATTCTACTCTGGAGGACAATGTGCAAACAACTGTGTACGTAAATGATATATACAGAGTAAATTAGGTAATCTCAGGCACTGGCAGTTAAGAGGACCAGGAAAGGCCTCTTGGAAAAGGTGGATTTGAGGAGGAAAAAAGGGGGACCTTTATTGGATGGCCTCAATGTTTTTTTAGTTAAGTATAAGGTGTTGAGGACCTCAACAAATAATGGTGGAAGTACAGGGAGATGCTTCTTGAGAGATGAGCAGGTTTGGAACAGTTCCACTGTGGGTAATGGAATAGAAAATTCGTTAGGAAAGAATAGAGTAATTGCCATGTTACAGGCCTTAGACCTAGGGAACCAGCATGAATGATGGCCTAAGGGTGACAGTGAACACAACATAAATGATGTAGTTCAAAGGCTCTGGCTTCTTTCAGTCCGGCCTCTGGAGTTCTCCAACCCAGTTGAGATAAGATAATATATAATTGTAGTGGTTTGTGATTTTCTCTAGTGCATTTTCTCCAACCACATGCAGCAGCACTTGAATAAGAACAAAGAAGCAGATGGCTGGAGTAATCCAGGGTTGGGGTTTGTCAGGGCATGATCAGTGATAGGAAAAGAAGGTGAGTGATCTGAGAGTAGAGAATAATATAGAGTTGGATTGGTTCAGTAAGGGGTTGAGATAGGGAAGAATATAGCCACTACAGGGATGATGACCTAAGAAATAACTGAGTGATGGAGAGAATGGAGGTCACAGAAAGGACAAAGAACAGGGTTAGTCTAGAACAGAAGGAAAGGTGGAATGATAAAAGATTATGATCAGACTAAAGGAATTTCAGGGTTAGTAAATATGGATGTGGAAGTGAAACTCTTAATGTCAAGAGTTAGTCATGTGAATTGAGTCTTGAACTGGAAAGTTAAGGTGTTTGAACGTACATCAGTATTGATGTGAAAGTCCCTGAGTATGAGGGCAAGGGTTGGTATAGAGAGGGTTCTTGATTGATGGGAATGGAAAAACGATCTGGAAGCACGGAGTATTCAGTCTCATCTACTGTGGAGAATAAGTTTTTTTGGGGGGGGAAGGTTTTGAGTGAAAGTGAAAACAATATTAGAATGGGTAGTGCAGGAAGCAGTGTTATCAGGAGAAAGGCAAGTTTCACTAGGTGCCAGATGATCGTGTGAGAAAAAGAGAGTTTTAAGATGAGAGGAAGTTTGTCAATTATGGATCAGGAGTTTCAGAGGACACAGCAAAAGGATTGAGAAGATCTGCAGTTGAACATGGGGGAGGGAGAGGTGGATAGAGTTAAGGGGATGGTCAGCTGGGGATGAGCAGTGGGGGTTGGCACCTTGGTAGCCAGGGCTTAAGAATCACTGGTATAGGGAGAGTATGAGGAGGGTCAGAGTATGCTAACCATTGAGGAATAAGTCCAGGTAAAGTATCAGTGGTTGGAGATAGTTCTAGTGAGGAAGGAACATGATTAAACTGTTCAGGGTCCTCTAGAGGAAAG